CGGAGATGCTGGGAGGGCTGGAGCCCCTCTGCTGGGAGGGGGGGCTGAGAGAGTTGGGGGGGTTCGAGAAGAGAAGGCTCCAGGGAGACCTTCCAGCCCCTTCCAGTCCCTAAAGAAGGGGGGCTCCAGGAAAGCTGGGGAGGGACTCTGGATCAGGGAGGGCAGCCCTAGGAGGAGGGGGAAGGGTTTGACCCTGAAAGAGTCCGAAATAGAGTCTGAAACCTCCAAAACATCAGTTAGAGGAAAGAGATAGTTCCCTGGTCTGCGCCATGGCCCTCAACCCCCAAGTGATGCCATCTGGGGGTGGATATGTTGATAGTGAGGAGGGCCATGGAGATACTGGGAGGGCTGGAGCCCCTCTGCTGGGAGGGGGTGCTGAGAGAGTTGGGGGGGTTCAGCCTGGAGAAGAGAAGGCTCCGGGGAGACCTTCCAGCCCCTTCCAGTCCCTCAGGGGGCTCCAGGAAAGCTGGGGAGGGACTCTGGATCAGGGAGGGTAGCCCTAGGAGGAGGGGGAAGGGTTTGACCCTGAAAGAGGGGAGATGGAGCTGAGATGTGGGGAAGAACTTGTTTGGTGGGAGGGTGGTGAGAGCCTGGCCCAGGTTGGCCAGAGAAGCTGTGGCTGCCCCATCCCTGGAGGGGTTCAAGGGCAGGTTGGAGGGGGCTTGGAGCAACCTGGTGTGGTGGGAGGTGTCCCTGCCCAGGGCAGGGGGTTGGATTAAATGACATTTAAAGGTCCCTTCCAACCCAAAACATTCTATGATTCTTTCAACCTCCCAGAGCTGTGTGCTGAGCCCCAGCTCCGAGAACCTGCTTGTGCTCGGGATGCTCTGGCCAGCCTGCCTGGGAAGCAGTGACCGGCACCACCGAGGGCAGGAGGTGGAAAAAAATCCAGCACAGGCTGCATTTTACAAACGAAACACATGGAGGAAATAAGAAACAGGAGGGATGGGCACACGAACACCTGGAGGAAGAGGAGGAGCAGGCAGCCATCAAGAGCCGGGGTTTTCCAGCCGTGGGAAAGAGGCAGGAGAGCTCTGGCTCCTGCTGCTTCTTCCCCGCATGCTCCGGAGCGGGTTCCCAGGCAGGGATGGAGGAAGGAAAGCCCGGGAGAGCTTGGTATGCCGTGCACATCCCCGTGCTGAGCAAAGCTGGAAGCTGGCGGCTGGGCTTTGTGCGAGAGAGGAGGCTGGAAAGAAAGCAATATCCTGCCATTGCCATGGCAACAGGAGGGCTGCGCCAGGAGGCAGCCGGTCCCATCCGTCGGGAGCTGAGCGCCCGTCGGACCCGGACAGCCCCGG